AACATCGTTCCTGGGTTTTAATTTTGTTCTTCATGGTTCACAGTCAAGCCATGTGCGGTGTTTCAATGTGCTTGGGTATGTGCTTGATACCATGGGCAAAACACAGACATCAAGCTCAGGTTTCGGAACCGTCATGCAGACTCAGATTTGCAAGCCCTCATGGAGTCCACTGTGCCGCCGGCTGACTTGGCTCGCGTTGGCATATTCAACAGCTGCCTGACCAAGTGGGGCAAACAGGCTGGTCTCATCGATTGAGCTTGCAAATAGACTGAGAAAACTGGTTTCAACGTTGCCCCAGAGGCACTTGAACAACAAGCTGCAAAGGATGAAGAGTGTCTCGGTCACATGTTCTACTTGTCTTTGTTGGCGAAAGCATGCTGCTAGTTAAAGCCGAAAGCATGCTGCTTCTAGTTGGCTAACTTCATTCAACTCAGGCTATCCATGAAGGTCGCCGCCTTGAACTTTGAACAAGCCCAACACGATATTGTCAAGGACATTGAAGCCGTGAATGCATGGAGCGACAAGTTTCAGGATTGGGCAAACCGCCAGGCAAAGCCATTTACTTTGACAAGTGTACTTTGTGAAAGTTTGTGTTGCGTCACACTCACCTACATGCACACTGAAGAACTGAAAATCCAACAATTCAAATTCCCCATGTCTCGCCTGGTCAGGGATTCCTCGACTGCAAATACCTCACAGAGAGATATGAGAAGGGCATTCGTGAAGTACGCCGTTTCATGAATTCTCGTCACCGTCATGTACACATGGAGAAATTGACCCAATCGGCGGCTGATGTGCTGTCTGTGCAATCCAGTGATGGCAACAAAGCGTTCAAAGCTCAATGCGTTACACAATAATGCAAACTTTACATCAGCACATATCAACACAGTTTGGCACAATGCAATGTGAACAATAGAACATTAAATGGTCGTGTTTGTAAACGTTTTGCAACATCCGGCATGCTTGTCAGGTTTGCGCTGCTTGTCCTGGATGCAACCTTGTGGCCGAGCCGCACCTTGTCGGCTACAACTCTTGTCAAACTCAAGAATACAAGTCAAAGATTGTGTCAAAGAGTGCAAATGGCATGTTGTTCTTTACTTGGTGTTTCATCGTGCAGGTGTCATGGGCATCGACGAGGGTATTGAACTGGCATCCCTTGTCACTGGTGGCAACGACAGGTCCATGTTGCTGGCTCTGGAACCACAATACCACAGCAGTACGGAGAAACATCCGGTGGTCAAACACAGGCGTCTCTTGGAAGACAAGGTCATTGCGAGCCTCGCCAAAATTACGGTGTTGCGTATGTGCTGCATATGCGTGCGGGTGACAAAGAGAGGGAGCCTGTGAACCAACAGTGTGCTACGTTTGAACTTACAAGGACGATGGACTACTGGGAGATCAGCTTGAACTTTGCTGATGAGAATGCTCATGGCAATGACAAACGGCGTACATCACAACAATGTATCTTGGCTTGGCTTTGTCAATGTCAGTTTCACTCATTTGAACGACATATCCATTTATGCTGCTCATTTTTCATGATACATTGGCACTCTAATTTTTCATGATGCATCTTGGCATTGGTCAGGCTTGGCAGCCATCTCATCGAGCCAGAAAGCATCTAAGTGGTGCAAGAGCAATGTCCTTCTTGGCCAGATTCCCAACATCCCACGAGCAAGAGTGGGAGATCTCGTGAACTTGGATCCAGACTCGCCAATCCCGCCCAATCATCGAGTTCTTTGGCTGTTGATTTGGTAATCCAATGTGAATCCAACATGCTTTCAATTTGTTAGCACATCACACCTACAGTCAGGTACAGCAGCGTGGTGTGGAAGGGACCCTGAAAGTCCTTGAGGCGTGCGTGCAGGGCATGAAACTACCTGAAGAGACAACTGTCTACGTGTTCGATCTTTTGCCAAACCAATTTGGTGAGTGGTCCAGGGCAGTGTGGCAGCTGCAAAAGGCAGAGCTTAGGTCGTCTGCTGATCAAAGGCCAGCAGTGAAGTGGTGCTACACCGCGTACTTCACAGATTCCACTGAATGCAATTCTATGGACTCTGCAATGGCAGGGCGAGCCATGCAGGAGGGCATGTTGCATTGAGCTGTGATTGACGATGTATGTCAGTTTGTTCAGTCTTTGCAGCTTGTTATCCAAAATTTGGCTGGATATACATGCTGTCTAGTTTATTCTGGTTTCTGTGTTGCGCTCACGCGTCCACCTGTCAAATCTAGAGATTTTGACAGATCTTGTCAGGAGTGGTGGGATGATTGCGACAAAGCTGGTGCCAAAACCAGGCCTGCTGCGGCGTTTGAGGATGCAGTACCGTCACTCAAAGCCCTATCGATTGACAACAACTCACTGAAGAAGCACGCCCGCATTCAATTTTGATGGCATGTTGACATTTGCACACCTTTAGGCAGTGTTTGTTTGTCAGACTTCCATTTGCCATCATTTGCCAAATGCTCCAGTTGCCAAGGATCCCAGATGTGTTGAGGGCCCGCTTGATGGCTGACTCTACCCAATCACCCAAGCTTGATGAACTGATCCGCATGGTGCAAAAGGCAAACACACCGGTTGTGAAGCGTGCATTGAAGGGGACCGCGCAGGCAACCACAACTTCCAACACTGTTGGCGAGCGTAGAACTAGCCAAGAAGGACAGGTTGTTTCCCGAACTGCGTGCGAGCCTGACTACACCGAGTCTGACCGGCCGCTGGATCTTACTCGCGAAGTTGATTTGCATTCCATGCCTTTGCAAGATTTTCTGAGCACCAAGGAGTGTCTTGGTTTCATGCTGGTGTTCAAGGTTTGTTGTGTAATGTTGTGACAGCTGTGCGTGGTGTCTTCTATGCCATTGAATGCCATTGACCAAAAGTGCACCCCAAGGATCAAAGCGCAATGCTCATGTTTGAGGGAGCCTTCGATCACCATTTACATCGTCGACTATGAGGTGTGGCTGGCAAACAGCACAGACTCTGAAGTCACTCTGGCGGCCGGTGACCTCTTCGGCTTTGGCGTTGGTAGTTTCAAGGAAATTGCAAAAGGTGCGGCCATGTCTAAATCAAATAACTGTGGCGTTGGTAGTTTTCGACCATGTCAATGCCCTTACTCTGGATATTATTGTGTGCGGTATCTAATTTAATCCAAGCGTCTGGCAGGTGTAGCTGCAGCGCGTCCAAAGGATTGTATTCCTTGGCTGGTGTCAGAGGACATCAACATGGTCCAGCTGTGCGGGGAGAACAACACGAAGCGCATGCAGTGCATTGCAAATGTCATGTGTGATTTGGCTGCCAACAGTGGGTTGATGCAAGTCACCATGACAGACCATGACATGGAACAAATGGTCAAGGAGCTTGATGCTGCTGTGTCAGTGATGTTGCAGCAAGTGATGTTTCAATCAGTGTAAACTAAGAAACGTGCGAAATATGTGCCATCAAGAATCACCGACATGTGTGGGTATGCAGTGGGTCTTGTGGCTCAACTAGTGGCCCAACTATGTTCGACCGTGAGTGCAGGACAATGGCGAGTTGCGCACATTTAGATACCGCTTGACACCAAAACAGCGAGTGAATGCCTTCGAACCCAAGAAACTGACTGATCTCCAAAACCTCAGATCGACGCAACTGGGGCAAGTGTTCTTCAATGACTTCAACAAAATGCCAGAATCTTCAGTGGCAGGCCTTGTGTGGGATGTTCAAACCTGAGATTGTGTGTCTGTCTTGTGAATGGCAAACATGGCATTAATTAGGATCTGTGCCCCACCAACGCTCAAGGTTCGCATGGTGACATCTTCACCAGCCAACTTGCTGCCGGTCAAGCCCAAATTTGCATTGAAATGCTCAGTTCCTCTTGGGGCCCAGCGAGCCTTCCGAGTGTGATGCCACTAGCTGTGTTTGGTGCACTCACCGTTTTGCAGCAAGTCACATATACCACACTGACTTTGCAATGTCCACTTGATACATATCACATTCATTGGGAATGCCTTGGTCCATGTCAGTAGTGGCGGTGCTTTGCTGGGTGTTAGACATGTTAGACAGTGGAATGCGTTGCCAAAAAGTGTTGCAGCATGTTGCAGTCACAAAGGGTGGAACACCTACACAGCAATTTGCAAGTCAAGTTTAGTATAGTTGTTGCTGCTTGCTGCTGGCTGCTGGTTCAATTGTTCCTCGCTTGTTGCTCAAAAGGGTCGTTGCAACATTGCCTGCGCCCATGGCCCTGCTGATGGTTTTACAAGCAATAGACACCTTGTCAGACGATGATCAGGCAGCCTCAGGTGCAGTACCGAAGGCAAAACCAAAATCAAAGCCCAAAGCAAAGCCAAAGTCTGGCACAAAGGCAAAAGCAACACCAAAAAAGAAATCCCCCAAGAAACGGCCAGCAGCGTCTCAGAAGAATGGAGGCAATTCAAAGGGGGATGGCCATGAAGCATCAGAAGAGCAACCTGAAGCGCCAGAAGAAGAAGAAGCAGAAGAAGAACCAGATGAGAGTGCCCAAGGAGGGAAACCTGAACAGACCAAAGAAGAGATAGAAGAGACACAGCCAAAAAAAAGAAGACGATGAAACGTCCTGCCACAGCAGCGCCAACAGCTGAGCCAGCAAAGAAGCCAGCAACAGCCAAAGAGTCGAAACCTTTGAAGGCATACAAATACAAGTACAAGGACAATGGAGTTTGGGGATTCAAGCTGAACAATGGTTCTGGGGAGATTTTTCGTGTGGGGGCCCCAGTGATTCTTGCTGCTTACAAATTCTGGTTTATGGAGCTAGTTGCTGACCGTTTGCAGTGCATTGCATGACAGTGTTGTTGTTGTTGCTGTTGTTGTTGTTGTTTGCAGATGCGACCTGTTGCTGAAATCTCCAATGAAAGAATGGAGGAGATCGCAGCCGCTTGTCATGGAATTGCATTCCTTGCAGCCCCAAGCCCCAACAAACTACACAAACCTGGCACGAAGCAGTAGCAACTAAATAGCGGTGGTACCCAAACACAAACACGCACACAAACACCTTGAGCTGTGTTGTTCTTTGTTCATGAGGAGTAGGCAAAATCCACATTGCCTGAGGAGATCTTGCGCCTGGAGATGGAAAAGCGAAATGGCGATGTATCATCGCTTGGATCTTTGCGGGACACCAAACATACAAAATATATCAGTGAACGCAACTTGCATGCCTACATGTAGGAATAGTTAATAAACACAGTTTGTCTTGGCTTGACACAGGACCAGCTGGTTCAAGCAGAAGTGGAGGCGGCTTCACGGCGGAAGAGCTCTACTCCGAATGCCTTACCAACAGTGAATCAGCCCGCCGGCAAGATGTGTGAGCCGGAGGAAGGAGAGGAAGAAGAATTGCAGGAAGAGGATGCTTTGGTGGAGGCTCCACAAGATGATGCATAGGGCAATAGGATGAACATGAAATACCGGGCAGCAGTGAGAGTGCAAAAAGTTGAGCTCGACAAGGGAGTGCAGTGTGGGCTGATGGACTGACTGACCAAATTGATAGAACACTTGATAGAACACTGACTGATAATGTGAGCATAGCCATAGCACCAGCAACAACAGCAAACAACAAACACGACCACGACAACAACAACAACATAATAATAAGACCTGAAAACCCTGAACCCTGGTTACAATCCTGAACCCTGGTTAGAAGGAAAACTTTTTTTAAGCTTCCGACATGTTGAAGTTGCATGTCAATTTGTCTGTCGACAGCAGTCAGTTGTGACGCGAAAATGATCGGAATCCAGTGTCCCTGTCTCTCTTCTGTCTCTCATCACACCGAAAAGCAAGAGTCATGGCCATGCTCTCCACATCCTTCTTTTTGTACAACTGGAGCCCGTTCGAATACCAAGCAAACTGGAGCGATCGATCTCCCACCACCGACCTCTCAACGATGCGGTACGCGGTACGCGAAGCGGTGGAGGCACGAGCCAAACCGACATGGCAAACCCGTCGCCTTTGCGGGCGACGAAGGGTACGCCCGCAAGGAGGTCATGAATGTCCTTGATCGACGCAGCTCCAAAGCCAATATAGCATTGTAAAACCCACATCTTGTCATGTCTGATTCCACACCATTTTTGACCAGGAGATCAATTCTACAGCATCTGACAAAACACCCATCCGTCTTCGGTGGCAACCCAATGTGCTGCAAACCACACCCTCAGCTCAATACAGAACAACATTTGAACATGTTACCCCAAGCTCTGGTGCTTTTCTGACATCTCAGATCGGCTGGTAGGCTCTATGCGGCCATATGTACAGTCCGTGCGGAGCATCACCTCCTTCCGAAGCAGTCGAGGTGGCCTGCCAGGCAGGTGGTAACATCAACGATCCCAGCGTCCAGCCGGCGCGCAGTTCAAAGAGTCGCCTCATGTCGCCACCATGCGCTTTCATCATGTTCTCACTGTTCTGGGCAAGTAAGCATGGGAGGAAGAAGCATTGCCCTTCCAGTTCTCACATCACCGCTCAAAGAACTGACAATATCAAACTGCTTGGTGGTTCCAACTCACTTGAAACATATATCACAAATATAATATATAAATCCTATATTGCTCAGTGGGTTCAATCGTCCCAAGTAAAGGTTGAACATGGTTGAACATAAAGCTATCACCAGCGGATCCCCAGGAGAAACCACGAAATCCAAAAGAATGTCAAGGGCTATGGTGAAACTCGATGGTCCAGCGGCGAGATGCTGGACCCCAACTTGCCGACATGAAGACATGAATCCGAAGAGGCGGATGGGGTGCCCGCCAAGATTGGGAGAGTGGAGTGTTTCTTCTCTGCAAGGGCCCTCTCAATCCCACCACTGCACGCCTTTTCTCCTGACATTCGCATCATGATGCATTAGAGTTCTGGTCAAACTGAACGACCATCTCGATTACCTGAACATCACTGGCAGTTTGATGCTCCGTCCAGATGTGACGTCTGGCCAGGTCCACAGGCAGAAAGTGCGTTGCCCATGGCCCACTGACCATGATGTGAATGGCCAGCAGTGCATATCGACCGAACAACTTGGTGCCGAAGGCATACCATATCTGAAAGAAGGAGCCGGACCAAAGAGCAAATCGTAGATACGACCTTGATATGGCAGCTCCTCTGTTCATCTCATCCGCGGGCAAAATGACTCGGAAATTCCGCAAACCAGCATCGAACACGAAGAGATTGGCCAGAGCCGCCGCAAGGATTGCGAAGCCCAGCAAGGGAACCAACGGAGTCCAAAAGATTAACAATTCCTTGGCTGATGAGTACCTTTTGTAAAATACAAGATGGAACCCACGAACCCGAATGCAAGCACAATTGAAAAGCTGCATATGTCCAAATGACACTTGTAGGACACTCATTGTGGGACACTCTTGTAGGACACTCCTGTGGGTCACTGTTGTGGGACACTCTCACGAAACAATCTTGTGGGACACTCTTCTAGGACACTCTGTTGGCGCTAACACTCTTGTAGGACACTCTTGTGCGTCACCCTTACGGGACACTCTTGTAGGAAACTCCTGTGGGGTACTCTTACGGGACACTCTTGTGGGACACTCTTCTAGGACACTCTTGTGGGACGCTCTTGTCGCTCACCAGCGACATGCCGCGTTTACACCAGCATGTTTGCCCTCGCCAGCGGCACAGCGCCACGCAAACGCACTTTCCACCAAGGCCGCGCAAATCCGCATGGCACTCGGTTGCGAACGCTGAGACAACGCGTCGCGAACAAGACTCTACCCCCAGACCCCCAGAGTTAAATGAGAACCCTTCGCTACACATTCAGGAATTAGACAACAATAGAGCAAATTCGTTGCCCTTGGACCTTGTCTACCGAAAGCAGACAGGGTACTTCAACAAACCGCTGGATCTATACTTTACTGCAAGTGTGCAACGCTAGGCTTAATTGGTATGGGTTGCATGCGGCGTGAATGAGGTAAGTCCATGCAGATTTTGCCTTTAATGCAGGTGAACAAAATGAAAAAACATGAAAAAAACATGCTGCCGCGCCCTTTGCAAGAAAGCTTCCACTTGTGTCGTCAGCAGCGACAGTTGCTGCAAAGGTGCCAGCGAGCCGGACGTCTTTGGCCAGCGACCGAAGAGCTTCAGATGTCTTTCCTTCAAGTCGTCTCTGGGCATATCCAGCTTCGAACAGTGCCACAGAGTCAATAGCATCAAGGGTTGAACTGTCGCTCGAACCATGAGTTTTTTGAGAAGGAAGGGCGTCAAGTTCCCTACGATGGCCCGGCTACACCTGCCATCTGACCACCAGCCATCACTGGACCTACAAATGTCTTTGTCAGTGTTCAATATCTCTTCGTCAAAGACTCCCCAGTTGAAATTCTGGTGGTTCGGGGATCCTACTTGGCACACAGTCCAAGTCCATTTCCAGCCTGATAAGCAGTTTTCGTCCAATACAACTGTGGTAAGCAGCGCCAAGAGCCAAGCTGAAAAGAGACGAAAAGTCATAAGTAAACGATCCGCTTTAATGCCGGTGAAGGCTGCATACTTCTTAGAGACCGGGGCTGAGAGCACCATGTCAATGAGCACGTTGAGATAAGGGGCGATGCTGTTGAACCATTGCAAAACTTGATCACTCACAGGAAGTGAGTTATGTGCGGGCAAAGATTGGGAGAACGCAAAGAGAATCGATGGCAATGAAAAAATGGAAACAATGCCAAACCAGCAAGCCCACGCTAGAACTCTTCCAAGTCGCTGAATTCTTGCCTTTTCGGAAGGGGCCTGTGAAGATGGAGTCATGGGCATACTGGCCACCACCGTGCGAAAAAA